ATTTCCTGCATTTTCACCCCTCTTTGATAGTCAAACACTCATGTCTATATAATAAAAAGAAAATTGTACATGTTGGCACTACAGTAAGATGTCAATTTTATTTTCTTGTGTTAAAAACAATATTTTACGGAACTGGTGTGCTTGTTCACTCAAATATGAAATTGATATCTTTTTGCCACCATGTTATAATCCTCTCTATGTATCACCCTTAAGTGTATTACTTGACGTGCAGCAATGCTTATGGGACTTGTATCAACCATCTTGATTGGTGCATGGAACATGCGTTCTCAACTGAAAAGGTTGTTTTCTGTTACCTTTTTTTGCAGGATATGTTCAACTGTTTTATCATCCAGACAACACTCAGACAGCATTCACCTTCCGTCCTGACATTATGGAACTGGAAGAAAAAGAAACTTTCCCTGAATTTGTTAGGTAAATGATTCTGAATCGCAGTATTGTCTTACTGCCGTAAACTGTAGGAATCTTGTTTGTGGTCACCAGAAATAACCAAGTTAATTTTGCTTCAATGTTTCCTCTGCAGACAACCAATGGTTTATCTGGCACTGCGAAATCTGATTTTGTCTCTATGGATGTTAAACCACAAGGTAATTAGTGAATTATTATTTAGACTCATATTTACAAACAGTAACTGTAGTTTGCTGGGTTTTTTTTCACTGCAAAAATCCAAATGAGATGATTTTGACCAATAACCTGTCAGTGAATGGTAAGTGCTACCAAAAGCTACAGGTAGTATACAGTGCCTTGAACTAGTTAATGACTGGCTGTAAACCTACGCAATTCGTTTTTGTTTGATATCACCTGTAGGAATTTTTGACNTTGTACTGTACTCTAAATATTTCGGACTCAAATTCGGGAAGTTTCAAAATTTTTGACAGTTAAATTTTCAGACACTTTTTTTGTCCAAAATTAGAATTGTATGAACTTTTTTTGCAAGTAATGTATTTCGTTATTGAAGAATTTCATTGGTTTTGTTTTTAGTTAGATTCCTAATACAATATAAACATTTTCTTATTATTTATAGAATTATTATTATTATGACTGACTGTTAATGAATGTTGATGTTGCAGGTTGTTTTAAAATTCAAGTACAACTTCTGGCAGAAGATTGTACAAGGAGCAGATTTTTTTGGTCATGTTCCCCAGTCATCGGAGGGGCGTGGTCACTGTGGGCTGTTCTATGACCTCTGTAAAAAGGTAACATTCTATCATGCTCCATACTCTTGTTTTTAATCCAAACTCAACATAAAAATTCTCCTTAATGGCTTTCATACATTTTCAATAATCACCTTTGGGAGAATTTGGTCATGCATATCTATTTGGATGATTTATGTAGTGAACTGAAGTTGGTTAGGAAATAGATAGGTAAAATGGTAAAGTCTGCGTATGAGTCAAGTGGCCCATCAGACCGGAGCTTATCCCGATTTCTGTAGCATGAAGTGACTAAGGAGTATTCCTAATTAAATTACTACAGCCACTTTATTCTGGCCTAAACAAAAGCTCAGTCAGTGATTTTGTTATTTAAAGAACCCCTTTAATACAGCCACTATGTTAATACGGTCAGATTTTTGTGGCCTGTTGGTGAGGGGATTAACGAGATTCACTGTATTTATGTTTAGTGTTGGCAATTAATTTGGGTTCAATGTGTCTTTTCTCTGGCAGGCTAATGAAAAGAGCAAGAAGGCAACCAATGTTTTAATGACTGTGTTAAGTGGAGACACAGCTGTTCAAGCCCAGACGATGACAGACAAGGAGGTGGTGGACTCGTGTATGAACACCCTGCGCAAGCTCTTTCCTTATGAGGTAAAGCATTCTATTNGGAAGGATTAGATTTTTACATTAAAAAAATCCAGACCTAACATTTTCACCTTGTGTGAAAATAAGAGCTAGACTAGGAAAACATTGTACAATCCAATAATTTAAGGACAGTTACCCATTCACTGCAGTGTCCAGCTACTTACTGGAATAAATTGTTTTCCCTCAATTCATGTTCTAGGAGAGGTAGTTTTTATTAGTTTCAATGTTATAAATTCAACAACAATTACTATAGTTATGCAAAGGCTGTTAAAGTATTTTCAGTTTGTTTCAACCTTTAAATTTTGTTTGAAAATGTTTCTTCAACATGGCTGGAATTCCATTGAAAAACTTTTTGTTTTACAGTCTTTAGGTTTTTTCCAATATTTGACCATTCTTAGGTAGATAATCCAGAGTTACTGCCAGCCATGTGCTGGTGAGCTGTACTCTACACATTTGTTTTAATTTCCTGTAACTGGTTAAAACAACACATTCTTGATTTGATGCATTTATTATAATTTTAAATTATTGTAAGGCTTGAGTTTGTAGCCGCTCTAACATGCAATAATGCCCACAGGCGAATAATGGGCCTGCAAAGACGGGGGAAAAAAGCCATGTAATAAACAACTTATTGACCTCAAACATTCACTCTTTATGGGAAAATCTCAAACCTCAACCTTGCCATATTGTGAATATGACGTGATCTTGGTTTGAGATTTGTCTGTAAAGACCTCACTCTCGGTTAATAAGTAGTTGTTAATGAAGTGCTATCAACAATAAAATAATGATAATTTATTAAACGTATTCAGTAATCTTTCTCAGCTCACATTTAATTAAGACTGTATAATACTGGTAAGAGTTCTGACGTGCTATATAGATAAATTTCTCCAATAGATTTCTTACAAGGGAGTAACTAGCAGTGACCACAAAGACAAACTATTGACTCTTAGTTAGACCAAAAAAATATTTTTTATTAATGCAAGGTTGCTGTATGCATGTGTTCAAGGCAAACTTCAAACTGGGCCATAATCTTGGCACTTTTATGAACTTTAATTAGAACACACTGACATAATACACTTCTTACACTCAAATCATGATCATGATCAGCTGGCTTCAATTTCTCCACATTTTTTTGCTGCATTTTTGCATTCTTATTCAATGAGGGTTCTTCATATGAAAACAAAAAGGACTAAAATTGTGAAGTGTAAAATCAGTGTTTTCGTTCAATGAAAACTTCTCATTGGGTTACCATTAAATGTGCACATAAAAAAATGGGATGTGGTCATGGTTTGGGTGCACATACTGTAAAGGCAAGTTTCCATCTGATCACTGCAATCACGACATTCACTGCAAAAAAACATTCAGCGATTGTTGTGATCACATGTAAACTACTCTCCAGAAATTGAAGCGACAATGATTGCCAAGATAGACTGTAGTTAGTAATGATCATGTGGAAACCGGTTTTTGCAGGATCTCTCAACTTTATCTGTAGCCATCACTACGATTGTATCAATCATGGCAATCATGTGCCAACCAGCATTAAGATGATCAGTTTTTATCCCTCACCCAAAAGATGAAGAGATTTAACCTGGAAAAGTCTACACTCTGATGACAAAGTATCTGACTTTTTGTTCCATGTGTACACAAATTTCAAAGCAAAACTGTCAACAACTAGCAGTGAGATTACATAGACTGCCAAGTCATCAATGTGAAATTTTCAGTGTTCAATCTTTAAAGTCTTTTGAGCTGCACAGAAGAAAAGGAAGGAGTTTGCTCCAATTCTGAGTTAATCTGCACAGCATACATCTAAGATCAATAATAGCGATTGTTATAATATTGTTACTGGCAATACATAATCAAATTTCGTTATAACCAGATTTCAGTTGAGTATTGTAAATCAAAGTAATTTCCACTTTGTCCAATCATTAAGGACAAAGACAATCCATTGAACCGATCAAAACTCCCAACCAAGTACATGTAGCTAACACAAAGTGCAGAGGATTAAATTTAGTGTGAAAAAATCCCAATTGGTTTTGGTTTTACTTTTGATTGGATCACAAAGTGACACAGGTTGTTTTAAACCAAAGCAGATAG